TGTACTCATGCCCTTTCCTGCATATGTTTTTTCGTGTACATATCCAGGTTCATCGTACCAGCCTCATCACTAGTTGCAGTCGTTGCTGCTTATTGGAGACTTCAAGGTACATCTGTCCGCGCCCCAGATCCTCGGAGTCCCCCTCTATCCCCCTATGTTCATTTTTCCTCTTTGTTTAGAAATGATGTATAAAACAGTTAAGACTTCTTAGTAGCTTGTGACTTGCGGGTTTTCGGGTTTTGAGAATTGTTTGGTACATTTCAAAGGTGATAATTGTATATGCCGAGTGGCATTCAGTTGCTTATTAGATATTTGTTACTGTTAGTGGTTTATGTTTATGTTTTTATCTCATTTCTGCAAAGTGTTAGGCTTACCTAGTCGTAGAGACTAGGTGCCGTCATGACAACTCACAGAGGGATAAATTGGGTCGTGACAATAAATAACCTTAGATTATAATTAAAGGATAAAAAACTAAAGAAAAGGAGACTAAAATGAGTGGTAAAATCACCATTCATAAACACACCCAACTTAAAGTCTTTGCTTCTCCTCAAGAAAATCAAAACCACAAACGTAATGAGGCTCTAACATTTAAAATTAAATTAGCATCGCTATCATCTTCAAATCACATTCTCCAATTACGCACAACACTTATTGCTTTGGTTGTTACTAATAATTAGCTCAAGCATGTAAACTTCAACTAAATAACTCCCTAATTTAAAACAATCTCAAGAATGCAATGGAGTTTCAAATTAATTAAGTGACAACAACCAAGTCTCAAGAAGTGACTCAAAAGCACTAGCCTACTACATATGCTCAATTTACTCAATTCGGAATTTATCAATCACTCGCAGATTCTTGTGAAATTTCTGTTACTCTGCAGAAACAGGCATATCAACGCAGAAGCGAGTTCGCAAACAAACTTCCAGCGCAGATGCAGTGCATTGTTCACAGATGCGATTTCTGTCTTACAGCTCTTTCTCCAGAGATGCGGACCATTTTGCGCAGATGCAATTTCACTGGATGTTGTTACACTTCATCAAATCCTTTTTCTCAATTTCATTTCATTTGATTTCGATTCTCTTCATGACTCATTGTACCTGAAAATCTAGTAATGCACACTATAAATAACCTTAGATTATAATAAAAGGATAAAAAACTAAAGCAAAGGAGACTAAAATGAGTGGTAAAATCAACATTCATCAACACACCCAACTTAAAGTCTTTGCTTCTCCTCAAGCAAATCAAAACCACAAACTTAATTAGGCTCTAACATTTAAAATTAAATTAGCATCACTATCATCTTCAAATCACATTCTCCAATTACGCACAACACTTATTGCTTTGGTTGTTACTAATAATTAGCTCAAGCATGTGAACTTCAACCAAATAACTCCCTCATTTAAAATAATCTCAAGAATGCAATGGAGTTTCAAAATAATTAAGTGACAACAACCAAGTCTCAAGAAGTGACTCAAAAGTACTAGTCTACTACATATGCTCAAATTACTAAATTCGGAATTTATCAATCACTCGCAAATTCTTGCGAAATTTCTGTTACTCGCAGAAACAGACACACCAATGCATAAGCGAGTCTGCAGAAGCAAACTTCCAGTGCAGAAGGGATACCACAAATGTTGTGCATCGTTCACATTTGCTATTTCTATCTCACAGCTCTTCTTCTGCAGATGCGGACCATTTCTCGCAGATGCGAGACCGCTGATGCAGACCATTTTGCACAGACACGATTTCACAGGATGCAGTTTCTCATCTTCAACTGTTTTTGCTCAATTTCACTTCAATTGATTTCGATTCTCTTCATGACTCATTGTACCTGAATTATAGAAATGTACACCATAAATAACCTCATATTATAATAAAAGTATACAAAAACTAAAGCAATGGAGACTAAAATGAGTGGTAAAGTCACCACTCATCAACACCCCCATCTTAAAGTCTTTACTTGTCCTCAAGCAAATCAAAACCATAAACTCAATGAGGCTCTAATATTTAAAATTCGAGTAGCATTGCTATCAACATCAAACAACATTCTCTAATTACACACAACATATTTGGCTTAGGTTGGCACTAATAATTAGGCGCAAGCATGTGAACTTCAACCATATAATTCCCTCATTTAAAACAATCTCAAGAATGCAATGGAGTTTCAAAATAATCAAGTGACAACAACCAAGCCTCAAGAAGTGACTCAAAAGTACTAGTCTACTACATATGCTCAATTTACTAAATTCAGAATTTATCAATCACTCGAAGATTCTTGCGAAATTTCTGTTACTCGCAGAAACAGACATATCAATGCATAAGCGAGTCTGCAGAAGCAAACTTCCAGTGCAGAAGGGATACCGCAGATGTTGAGCATCGTTCACCTATGCTATTTCTATCTCACAGCTCTTCTTCCGCATATGCGGACCATTTCTCGCAGATGCAGACTATTTTGTGCGGATGCAATTATACTGGATGCTCTTTCACTTCTTCAACTCTTTTTGCTCAATTTTACTTCAATTGATTTCTATTATCTTCATGACTCATTGTACCTGAAAATCTGGCAATGCACACCATAAAAAGCCTCAGATTATAATAAAATGATATAAAAACTAAAGCAAAGGAGACTAAAATAAGTGGTAAAATCACCACTCATCAACACTCCCAACTTAAAGTCTTTGCTTGTCCTCAAGCAAATCAAAACTAGAAACTCAATGAGGTTCAAACATTTAAAATTCAATTTGAATTGATATCATCTTCAAATCACATTCTCCAATTGTACAAAACACTTATAGCTTTGGTTGGTACTAATAATTAGGCTCAAGCATGTGAACTTCAACCAAATAACTCTCTCATTTAAAACAATCACAAGAACGCAATGGAGTTTTTAAAATAATCAAGTGATAACAACCAAGTCTCAATAAGTGACTCAAAAGTACTAGTCTACTACATATGCTCAACTTACTCAATTAAAAATTTATCAATCACTCGTAGATGCGAGTCTTGTGCAATTTTGGTTACTTCGCAGAAGCGGACATATCAACTCATAAGAATACTTCCAGCGCAGATGCAGTGCATCATTCGCGGAAGCAATGTTTAACTCATAGCTCTTCTTGCGCAGATGTGAACCATTTCTCGCAGATACGAGATTGCATATGCTGACCATTTTGCTTATATGTGTTTTCACTGGATACAATTTCACTTCTACAAATCTTTTTGCTCAATTTTACTTCAATTGATTTCGATTCTCTTCATGACTCATTGTACCTAAAAATCTAGCAATGCACACCATAAATAAACTAAGAATATAATAAAAGGATACAAAAACTAAAGGAAAGGAGACTAAAATGAGTGGTAAAAGCACCACTCATCAACACCCCAGCTTATAGTCTTTGCTTGTTCTAAAGCAAATTAAAACCAGACACTCAACGAGGCTCTAATATTTAAAATTAAATTAGCATCGATATCATCTTCAAATCACATTCTCCAATTACACACAATACTTATGGCTTTGGTTGGTACTAATAATTAGGCTCAACCATGTGAACTTCAAACAAATAACTCCCTCATTTAAAACAATCTCAAGAATGCAATGGAGCTTTTAAAATAATCAAGTGACAACAAACAAGCCTCAAGAAGTGACACAAACGCACTAGTCTACTACATATGCTCAATTTACTAAATTCAAAATTTATCAGTAACTCACAGATGTGAGTTTGTGCAATTTTGGTTACTTCGCAGAAGCGGACATATCAACGTTGAAGCGAGTCCGCATAAGTGGACTTCCAGCGCATACACGATACTATAGATGCAGTGCATGGTTTGCAGATGTGATTTCTGCCTCACAGCCCTTCTACCGCAGTTGTACACCATTTCTCGCAGATGCGAGACCGCAGATGCAAACCATTTTGCGTAGGTGCGATTTCATTGGATGCAGTTTCATTTCTTCAACTCTTTTTCTATATTTCACTTCAATTGATTTCGATTCACTTCATGACTCATTGTATTTGAAAATCTAGCAATGCACACCATAAATAACCTCGTATTTTAATAAAAGGATACAAATACTAAAGCAAAGAAGATAAAATGAGTGGTAAAATCACCACTCATCCACACCCCCAACTTAAGGTCTTTGCTTGTCCTCAAGAAAATAAAAACCACAAAGTAAATGAGGCTCTAACATTTAAAATTCAATTAGCATCGCTATCATCTTCAAATCACATTCTCCAAATACGCATAACACTTATGTCTTTGGTTGGTACTACTAATTAGGCTCACGCATGTGAACTTCAACCAAATAACTCTCTCATTTAAAACAATCTCAAGAATGCAATGGTGTTTTAAAATAATCAAGTGGCAACAACCAAGCCTGAAGAAGTGACTCAAAAGCACTAGTCTACGACATATGTTTAATTTACTCAATTCGGAATTTATCAATCACTCGCAAATTCTTGTTAAATATCTGTTACTCCGCAGAAACGGACATATCAATGCAGAAGCGGACTTCCAGTGCAGAAGCGATACCGCAAATGCAGTGCATCATTCGTAGATGCGATTTCTGCCTCACAACACTTCTTTCGCAGATGCGGACCATTTCTTGTAGATGAGAGACCCCAGATGCAGACCATTTTGTGTATATGTGATTTCACTAGATGCGGTTTCACTTCTTCAACTCTTTTTGCTCAATTTAATTGAGTTCGATTCTCTTCTTGACTCATTGTACCTTAAAATCTAGCAATGCACACCATAAATAACCTCCGATTATAATAAAAGGATACAAAAACTAAAGCAAAGGAGACTAAAATGAGTGGTAAAATCACCACTCATCAACACCCCTAACTTAAAGTCTTTGCTTGTCCTCAAGCAAATCAAAACCATAAACTCAATGAGTCTCTAACATTTTAAATTCAATTAGTATCGCTACCATCTTCAAATCACATTCTCCAATTACGCACATCATTTATGACTTTGGTTAGTACTAATAATTAGGCTCAAGCATGTGAATATCAACCAAATAATGCCCTCATTTAAAACAATCTCAAGAATGCAATGGAGTTTCAAAATAATCAAGTGACAACAACTAAGCCTCAAGAAATGACTCAAAAGCACTAGTCTGCTACATATGATCAATTTACTCAAATCGGAATTTATCAATCACTCGCAGATGCAAGTCTTGTGCAATTTTGGTTACTCCGTAGAAGCGGACATATCAACACAGAAGCGAGTCCGTAGAAGCAAACTTCCAGCACAAAAGTGATATTGCAGATGTGATGCATCGTTCGCAACTACAATTTCAACCTCATAACTCTTCTTCCGCTGATGTAGACCATTTCTCGCAGATGCGGAGCATTTTGCACAAATACAATTTTAGTGGATGCAGTTTAACTGATTCAACTATTTTAGCTCCATTTCACTTCAATTGATTTTGATTCTCTGCTTAAGACATTGTACCTGAAAATCTGGAAATGCACACCATAAATAACCTTATATTATAATAAAATGATACAAAAACTAAAGCAAAGGAGACTAAAATGAGTGGTCATTTAAAATCAAAACCACAAACTCAATGAGGTTCTAACATTTAAAATCCAATTAGCATCGGTATCATCTTCAAATCACATTCTCCAATTACGCATAACACTTATGTCTTTGTAATGAAGAAGGATGGTTCTATGCGCATGTGTATTGATTATCAACAGTTGAACAAGGTTACAGTGAAGAACATGTATCCATTTCCTCGTATTGATGACCTATTGAATCAGCTACAGGGTACCAGAGTGTTCTAAAAGATTGAATTGTGGTCAGGCTATCATCAGTTCAAGATTCGGGAGCCGATATTCCGAAGACTGCCTTCATGACTCGGTATGGTCATTACGAGTTCCTTGTGATATTATTTGGGCTGACCAATGCCCCAACAACATTCATGCACTTGATGAACAGTGTATTCCAACCATATCTTGACTCATTCATCATTATGTTTATTGACGACATCTTGGTGTACTCCTGGAGCCGGGAGGATCATGAGCAGCACCTGAGGACCATGCTCCAGACCTTGAGAGAAAATAAGTTGTATGCAAAAATTTTAAAGTGTGAATTCTGACTTGATTCAGTGGCATTTTTGGGTCTTTTAGCGTCGAGTGAGGGGATCAAGGTAGATCCTAAGAAGGTTTTTACAGTGCAGAGTTGGCCTAGACCGTCTTCAACTACTAAGATCCGGAGTTTTCTTGGTTTGGCAGGGTATTATCGTTGCTTCGTAGAGGGTTTCTCATCTATTACTGCACCTATAACCATATTGACCCAGAAGGGTTCTTCGTTGAGGTGGAACGAGTGTGAGGAGAGATTTCAAAAGCTCAAGACTGTTTTGACTACAACCCTAGTGTTGGTGTTGCCTACGGGTTCAGGGTCTTACACTATGTACTGTGATGCGTCACATGTTGGCCTCGGCGCGATGTTGATGCAGGACGGTGGGGTTATTACCTATGCGTCTAGACAACTGAAGATACATGAGAAGAACTATTATGTCCATGACCTTGAGTTAGCAGCTATTGTTCATGCCTTGAAGATTTGGCTGCACTATTTGTACATTGTCTCTTGTGAGGTTTATACTGACCACCAGATTCTACAACATCTGTTCAAATAGAAATATCTTAACTTGCGGCAGCGGAGATGGTTATAGTTGGTTAAGGACTATGATATCACCATTCTGTATCATCCCGGGAAGGCTAATATGGTGGTTGATGCCTTGAGTCGTAAGGCGGAGAGCTTGGCAAGTTTAGCATATCTACGGGCAGCAGAAAGGCCATTAGCATTGGATGTTCAGGTCTTGTCCAACCAGTTTGTTAGATTGGATATTTCGGAGCCGAGTCGAGTTTTGGCATATGTGGTTTCTCGGTCTTCTCTATATGATCGTATCAGAGAGCGTCAGTATGACAACCCCTTCTACTTGTCCTCAAGGACACAATTTAGCCCGGGGATGCCAAGGAGGTCACTATCGGGGATGACAGTGTGTTACGGATGCAGGGCAGGCTATGTGTGCTCATTATAGATGGTTTGCATGAGTTGATTCTTTAGGAAGCCCACAGTTCGCGGTACTCCATTCATCCGGGTGCTGCTAAGATGTATCAGGACTTGAGGCAGCACTACTGGTGGTGGAGGATGAAGAAAGACATAGTGGAGTATGTAACTTGGTGCCTAAATTGTCAACAGGTGAAGTATGAGCATCAGCAGCCAAGTGGATTGCTTCAGAGGCTAGAGATTCCAGAGTGGAAATGGGAGCGGGTTACTATGGATTTCATTCTGCGGCCCATTTTGCGGTCGCGGACTTAACCTGGAGGGTCATTTTTATCACTTTTTGTCCAGGAATTTTGGGCCATAATAAATAGAATTACTAGAGTTTTTGTGGACCATCTTGTCTGAAAAAGAGGCTACACTTAGAGAATTGAATACACCATTATTTTGGAAGCTTTTGATAGAGAATCCAAGACTTTGTCATCTTTGTAAGCTTTATGACTTTATTTATTACTTTGTTCTTGTATTCTAGTATGAGTAACTAACTTTAAATACTAAGGTTGTGGACCCTAAGTGGGTGTAATGTTAATGGGTGTTTATCATTTAATATATATATATATNGCAAACATTGACTAGTGCCATTTTACTCTATCTTTACTTGGAAAACTGGGTTAGTGTTTGGTAGAATTGAATAGCAGGAACTCAAGGCTTTAAACCTTATTTAATAGAATCGCTTAGGGATAAGTGGGTTCTACTTGGCATAAATTGGTTGTTCTCAATTGTAACTCTTTTATATTTGGGAAAATCATAAAGAGGAAATACTACCAACTTATTGAAAAATATTGGGTAGTCATTTAGGAACCATTTTCATAGCAAAAGTCCTTCCATTAGAAATATGTCATATTAATACCGATAGTATCATATTCCATTGATGGAGACACAACCTTGGTTTCTTAATCAAATTAATCAATTCTCTTAACAAAATAACTTTTCTTGACAATTCACAATTACAAAGCTCTTTTTAAACTAACGGAGTAGAACTACGGCTTAAGTCAAGTTTCACACTACTCAAGTAACCTTTTCACACCTATTCCCTGTGGGATTTGACCCCAACCTAGTTAGATTATTATATTTGGTATAGACCGTCTTACACCATTTATATAGGTGTAATTTGAGTGTAATCATCAACATTATCATCATTGAACAAGAAGGAATACTCCTCACTGTCGTCTTTGTCCTTGACCGGTATCTTCTTTTTTAGCTGCCCCCATTTGAAGATGGCCTTGATGCCTCTTCACATCTTTATCATGAATTTTTCCTTCTTCTTATTTTTCTATTTCTCCTTTTGAAAGTCTTCCTGAAGATCATCAGGGACCTTGGCCATATTGCCATATGCTGCCTCGAGCCTGCTAATAGAATCTGCTAACTTCTCATGAGACTCTGCCTGTTGTTTCTGGTCCTCTACCTATGTCTTCATCTCTTCTTTAGTACAATACTCAGGCATAGACCAGGAGTGCGAGAGTCCATTCGGGAGTTGTAACACTAAGTCACGAATGGAGACAAGCTAGGAATTCAGCATCCCAAATGGTCCCTCGGGTAGTATCCCTGTGAGGACTCTGGTCAAACAACTGTGGTGATCTTCCTCTTCTTGCTTTTTACTGCACTACCCTCACCAGTCACTCTCAATAGATGAAAGGATTTGTTGGCCGGTAACTAACGATAGGTGCTACGCACATCAACATCTGCCTGCCGACATAACTCTATGATTAACGAAGGGAACATCGAGCTTGGATTGTCTTGTAGCAAGTACTCTTTTAGCTCCTAAAAGATATAATAATTGACATTTACATGAATGCCATCAAGTATGCATGCAATCATCATGCACCTGACATATGAAACATCAGAGACATTGCCATAAGAAGAGACTCCATTACAGATGATGTAAAGCCATATCTTGACCTCAGCTGTGAAGTCAACGAATTTTAAACCCTTCCTCTTGTTGGCCCACTTCGCTCTCTTGTTTGAGGGATAACTTTTAGATGCTAGCCACTCTCTATTTGAGCATATTTTTTTTTCTCGTACCGACTCAAGTGGATGCTTTGGAAGCCCAAAAAACATCATTGATCTGCTCAAGTCCAAATCACACTATTTTGCCCTTATGGTGAGTTGTGGGTCGTTGAAGTTTATACACTTAAGGTTGGTGTAAAACTCACAAGCCCATTCCTAATTTTCATCACACGGAGTAGGCATGAAACAATTCCAACCAGTGGTCTATAGACGGTCATAGAAATCTGGAAGTAGCTCGGCCAATCTATCCCCAAAGATCCCCTTTTCCAGTAGGACCTTCTTTATAAGAAGATTGTCATAGTATCAGTGGTGACAATCAATGGACATGAAGCGATAATTGTCGAATTGCTCTTCTACAGCCTCTTCTTCAATTTCAAGATCATGTGCCATATTTTCATTCATCTTTGGGTCCATATTTTAAGTTCAAAGTACCTAAAAAATCAAAACAAAATTAGTCGGGCATTATAGTCATGTTAAGAAATTCAAAATACATCAATTAGTCCAAAGAATCGAGCCAAATGGGCCGAGCAAGCCATAGTTGCAAAGCTACTAGTTTTGCAAAAATTGGCCAGTCATCGCACCTGCGGAAGAAGCATCGCAGGTGCGGTTCCGCTTCTATGATTTTCACTGCTCAACATAAACTTGCACCTGCAGAACTTTCATCGCAAGTTCGGTTCCACATATGTGGTAAAAGTCTTGCTTCTTCGGTTTTTCACATCTCAGCCAATTTCGCACTTGCTTAACAATTCATCATAGGTGCAGGACGCATATGCAGCCTTTACTTCACAAAAGCGATTTTCACTAGATTTTGAAGGGCCCAGAAACTGTCGACTCTTTTCAATTCAAATCACGTTTTTGGCACAAAAGTTATACTCAAGACTTCTAAATTTGTGCACTACATGATTACACAACTTGATTACACATGATCTCAAGGCACTTAGCACATAAATTTCTCTCGAATAAATCACCGAACACTTAGCAAGAAACGAGAGAGTTTTGATCCTTTAAAGTAATCGGGTACTCAGACTTCTACAACTACACTTAACCAATTTTCCTCACCCGAACACTAACAATTATCGAGATGGGATAAAGAGGCTGTGGGAAATAGCTATGCATAAAAGTATAAGATAACGAGAGAAGAAGAAAATCGGGGAAAAAGAGAGAGTAGCTAAGAGACAAAGGGAAAAAGATGATTACCTGATTTCCTTGTGTGTAGGCAGTAGGATTCGAGTAATAGTTTCCTTGTGTGAAATATGAGAGGGGTTTTGGGTTGGGAGAATAGAGTTCAGACTCTGACCTGCTGAAGGGCATATTGGATCTTTAAAATTATCCGACGAGTCGCATCTACAGATATTTGAACATTTCTGCGGCTCCGCTTATGCGGTTAGGAATCTACTTCTGTGTAAGTTTCGCTTCTACTATACTTTTCTCGCTTCTGTGGTTCTGCACCTGCGAGAATATTTCTGAAGATGCGGTTAAACTAAAGTCTAGATAGAAAATTGGGAATCCACTGTTTGTTGTTCTTCCAACACCTCAAACTTCTCAAATCAACTCTGAAAATTCTAAAACTCTGCAGATTAGTCAAAAATAATATACTAACCTATTCTAAAAATGAAAATTTAAAAAATGACTTAAAATTTTGGAGACGATGGGTTGCCTCCTACCAAGCGCCGCATTTAATGTCGTGGCACGACGCTTACCAACTCCGTTACTTTTCACTCCACTTGGAGGATATGAATTGGAAACCTAACTTCGAATCAAATTTGTGACCACGGGCGGCGTGGGGATGGCAAGTAGATGATCAAGCCAAACATTAATTTATTCATTTTGTATTTCTTAGCTTTCTTTTGAGGAATGCCTTTTTACGTTCTTCACTTTACCTATCATTGTTATCTCTTTTTTTTATTTTAAACCTACCTGACCACATAAGATTGGGCATGGATCCATTACCCCTTTTATCAAATCTTTTGCTTAATCAGTCAAACTTCCTAAGTCCAATTTAGAAATACCTAAATCCTAAAAGGCATGTCCATTATTGAACAAAATCGCAGAATCAAGTTAAGAAACTATTTTGTCATGCTAATAAACGACAGTGACCAAATACTAAAGTTAAAAGAAGTTAATGACTAAAACATGAAATTAACACAATTAAACATGCTTAGTGATAATTAATCATGTGACCAACATCAAATGCATTCAAACAATCGCTTAAGAAGTCTAAATGCTCTTAACATGCAGTGGCTGCTACTAATCGTGGTTAACAACTAATATAAAATTAGTAGATAGTCATGTGTGCCTTTCTTAACTAAGTAGAGATAAAAAGAAACCAAAAAATAACAACAACAACAACAACAACAACAAAAACAACAACAACAACAACAACAATAACAAACAACAACAACAACAACAACAATAATAATAATAATAAACACAAAAGAAACAAAAGAGAAGAGTGTACCTATCGGAGTAAAGTAGAACCAGGTGAGACTAGATGGTGCATGATTTGGTGGTATCTAACCACCAACGGACCTTTCTCCATTAGAACCACCTTGAACTTCATATTCACTTAGCTAGTTTAAAGCTTTATTACTTACGAATTTCCACCAATGGGTGGATCTACCATGAGTAAGGGCTATTGGGAGGTTAGGCAGTGGCATGGATGGGCTTTTGCATGAACTCCGGTCGATCAATGATGAGTTGATCGGCACCGACATTCATTGAATGAATAGATACTTAAATTACTAGATTGATCTCTCTAAGACCTATCTAATGATGTAACTATTAAGACTTGTTGATCGATGATGGTCGATGAAATCAAGAAGGGAACGAACAGGATAGGGTTTCGAATTTGGTAATGATGGAGTGACATTTGGGGCAGAAGAGTGTAGAGGGGGAGGAGAGGAGAAGAAAAATAATGGTTTGAGGTTGTTTGGTTGACTTCGCCGATAGAGGCAATTTCCGGCCGGTGGTCAACAGTGGTTGGAGTGGTGGTAGGCGGCATAGGCGACCTCTGAACGCCCAGGAGAGGACAGGATTTGAAGATAATTTGGGGAGGAATTGAAAGATTGAATTTTTGGACTTCACTTTTATTAAAAATCAAATTGAACCAAAACGATATAGTTTAAATGTATAACTACATCGTCTTGTGTTCTAGGGGCTGAGGGACCTGGATCGGGTAAAGATGGAAATGGGCTGGTGAGTTAAAAAGCAATTAGGCCATTGGATGTTTGGCCCAGTTTGAGTGTAAGACTAACAAGTCCCTCTCCTTTTCTTCTTTCCTCAAATTTTAAAATTAGCCAATTTTAAATTTAATTCCTAATTACATCCTATTTTACACAATTAACCTATTTATATGTTTTACCTAATATTTACCCTAATTAGATCTGCAAATTAATAAATGGAAATAAGAAATTAAACCTAAAATGCAGAAATAGCTAAATGTATTTTTTGTGATTTTGGTGTCTTAAAAATGCAATTTAATATGTGGTTAATGTTAAAATGTAATTAAATCCCTAAAATGCAATTAATGGAAGACAACAAATATTATTTTATGACTTAGGATATTCTCGCTATGCAAAAATGCAAATAAATTCAATAAAATGCAAACAAACAAAAATAAAGATCCCTAAAGTTCTACAAAATAATAAAGGATTGGAAATTATTTTGAGGTATTTTTAGGAGCAATTCTGTGTAGGAAAAAAATTAGGTGCTCATAATTAAAAGCTAAGTGGAGGTAAGGTTGACTTTTTGAGTGAAACTTAGAAATTTTAAGAAAGGTGCATTGTTTGTGAAAAGTTATGAGATCCACTTATAAGGAATTGAATAAATAAGAAGAAGAAGAAGAAGAAGAAAATGGTCTTGAAAAGAAAGGAAAAAAACTATAACTTACAAAAAGAATGTGTGTTGTATATATCAAAAAATAATTATTCCTTGCTAGTGGCAACGTTTTCTTTAGTTGTGCTTAAAGAACTGAGAGCTTGGTGTTATTATTTTGTGAAGGTTAGGGTGTGGTTCAATACAAATATGGGGTTTGACATGTTAATGTATATGTATTAGAGTGCTTAGGGAGGTGTAGTATTATCCAAATTGTATCATACCCACCCAGCAGCCTATATTACAATATCGTCATAAAGAACCTCCAAATCAGCCATGACTTGATGAATGAAGTTCAACACTGTGGCGAATAACATAGCCTTAGTCATCTTTTCACAATCATTGCACTTCTTGGCGGTGTAATCGGCTATTTCATAAATTCTGGTCTTTGTGGCCCTCTGGTACCGAAACATCTGTCTGATTTGCTGCTCTCGGACTTCCACCAACTATTGGGCCTCGTCTCTCTTATTTTGCAAGTTTATCATATTTTCCTCTAGCTGGTTTAGTAAGTTATAACAATGCTCCCTTTCTGCCCTAAAATCTTCAGCTTGTCTACCCAATTCATTTTCAAAGGCACTCAAATCTTTCCTTAAGCCAAAAACCTCTTCTTCATGCACCTGTTTTGCTTGACAAGAAAATCTTAGATAGTTTTACAAGTATTCTCCTAATTGGATTTGGATTATCATGTTTCGAGCCCTTTCTAGTTCTTTCTCAGTGTTTGTCAAGTCGGCCGCATGGTCAAACACTTTGTGCCTCAAGTTGGCGATGATTTTTTATCCCTTTCGCTTCTCACTTATATATCTGATACTCTTTCGATTTCTCGGAGCTGGGCTCGAAGGGCCTCATTTTGGCGAGCCAATCTCTTCTTTTTGCCCTCATCCTCATGGGCTTGCAATTATTTCTCGAAGTTAACGACTCTCAATTTCTCTTTCAAGATACTTATAGTGGCTCGGTATTTTTCTTCTTTTGATACCCAAGCCCACTCTTCTTGTGCTCCATCAACAAACTCTTGGACGTGGGGCCTCTTGGCAGGTCTCTCAGGCTCATCATTCACTATTGCTCTCTTCTCATGCCAAACAATGTATCCGAGTTCAACCTCACCTTTTGACAAGTCATGTACTTGGGTATCTGGTCCCAAATACTGGCATTCACTCAAAATCTGATGAACCATGTTTTCGAGAAACTGAGCTTCGAGATGATTAGATGATTATTTATTAATCGCGCCTAAGAGAAACTACGATGTTCATGATCAATTAATATTTTCAAGTATAAGATTAGATGTGAAAGTCTGAAGTTATGGATCTTATTCGTTGTGGAGCCTGTGTAAGACTTAGCAAATGAAACTAAGGATCATCATAATTAATTGCCTAACTTTGTTTGTTTATGCGAATTAAATGTTGTTAATGGTTTAAGTTGAAATAATATAATTAACTTACGTGATTATTCAATTTATGTAAGGAGTACTATTCTAGAAATTATTTGAGGTTCATGAAGTATTAGATCAAAAAGGGGAAGGTGACTTTATTCGACATGATCAGAATTTTGGGCTTAGATATCCATAGAGTACATGGAAATAGAAACTAGGCTCAGGTGGAAGCCCAAGTTCGTACAACATATATCTCTAAGGTTGGTACCCACACGCAAATAGTAGTCGGTCCAATTGGACCTCAAATTGTTGGGCCAAGGAGTTAAAGGCTCAGAGTTGTAACGATCTGACAGATCATTTTGTATTAGTGTACCCCATTTCCTCTTTTTATGCTTCACACATGTGAGTTTGTAATTTTATGACTTTCGGGGTTGGTTAGTTTTGTCCCGGGAAGAGTTCGGGTTGATTTGGACCCTTTGATTCTTGGCTTAGAAGCCTAAGTTGTTTATGTTGACCAATGTTTGACTTTTATAAAAATGACCTCGGAACGATATTTGATGGCTCCAATTGCATTGTATCATGATTTTGGACTTGGGCGTATGCCCAAAATCGAATTCGGAAAATGGTAGGTTGATTTGTGTTGTTAGCCGAAAATTGGCAATTTCAGGTTTATAAGTTTGACCGTAGGTTGATTTTTGGCTATTGAGTTTGGAATTTTATTTTGGGACTTGAATAGGTCTATTATGCTATGTGGAAGTTTTCTGCAAAATTTGGTGTCAATTGGAGCTGATTTGGTACTATTCGGACGCTTTGTCGCAATTCTAAAAGTTCTTGAACTTTACTTTGCAATTCATGTGTTTTGGTGCTCGATTCATAGTTTTAGATGTTATTTTTGTCATTTGATATTGCGAGTGAGTTAGTATGATATTTTAGACTTGTGTGGATATTTGGTTTGGAGCTCCGAGGGCTCTGATGATTTTCGAATGTGTCACGAATTGGTTTGGACTGAAAACTGGACTGCTGCTGTGTTGATGCCTCAGGTGTCACAATTTGCAAACACCAGCATCACAATTGTGATCTTAGAAGGGGGGTCTCAAGTGTCACAATTACGATACATGGGTCGCAATTGCGAAGAGTGTCAGGATTTGAGTAGGCTCGCATTTGTGAGAAAAGTGTCGCATTTGCAATGAGAGCAGGCTTCGCAAATGCGAAGCCAATCCTAATGTTGTATTTGCGACTTCATCTTTGGTTGTCAGTGGCCGCATTTGCGAGGATTCCTTTGCAATTGTCGCAATTGTGACATCTGCAACTGAAAAAAAGGTTTGAAAGTCGAGATTTCATATCATTTTATTATATTTTAGAATCCTAGACTAGGTAGGAGGCGATTTGGAGAGGGGATTTATATCTACAAACATTGGGAGCGTGTGTCTAATCAATTTTCAACTATATTTCTTGATTATATATTAGATTTAGCATCAAATTTACGGGAATCAAAGAGTAAAATTTGGAACTTTTGTCAAAGTTTTGAAAAATAAAGATTTGAGTTTTGAGAGTCGATTGGACTCGGATTTGAAAACAAAACATATATATGGACTTGTGAGGTCATGGATAGTCGGAATCTACCCTTGGACCGGGGTTTTGACCAAGCGGGCCCGGGATTAACTTTTGTTGACTTTTTAATAAATGTGTAAAGGTCATAGCTTTATCTATTAATTATTTCCTCTTGCATTGTTTGATTATATTAATTCACTTTTTGTTAGATTTGAGCCGTGTGGAGGCGAATCTTAAGGGAAAAGCTATATTCGAGGGTTGATTTGGCCTAGTTGAGGTAAGTATCTTGCCTAACTTTGTGTGGGGGAACTACCTTTTAAGATTTGGATTGCTTGTGTTAATTGTACTATGTAGAAGACGTGTACACAAGGTGACGAGTATGTACACAAGCTATATGTGATATTTGACCGATTTAGGCTTTTAGACTTCTTCCATGCATTTGGTTGAATTTGTTATAACAGGTTACATCTTTCATTGTTAGATTTCTTCTCACATGCTCTAATTGACATTGTTAGGAGGTGTATCATAATACCACAATCCCTACACAAAGCGTCCCTTCTACCTCACCCCAATATATGCGGGTAGAGGTGTATCACAATACCACAATCCCTACACAAAGCAGTCCTGCCGCCTTACCCCAATATATGCGGGTGGAGGTGTATCACAATACCACAATCTCTACACAAAGTGGCCCTACCGCCTCACCCCAATATATGCGGGTGGAGGTGTATCACAATACCACAATCTCTATACAAAGCAGCCTTGCTGCCTTGCCCCAGTGTATGCAGGTGGAGGTGTAATCCCAATCACAATACCATATATAAACTCAAAGCGACATAGTTTGTCATTACATTTAAGGTCGCAATTTCCCATATCATTGGAATACTTCATGTTCATGCTCATCATGGAGAAAAACAACTCATTACATTAGCACATGCATGGTAAATCAATAAGTCGATTTCAATGGCACATGGGCCCAATTTCTTTTCTTAAGGTTCATCATCATTTAGCATAGGACATCTCCCTTTCATCCCGTTATTCACTCACTTGACATCTTGAGGCCATTAGCTAAGTTCATGGCTCTTGGGGACTTAACGTCGAAGTCATTTACATTAATTATTTTAGTAGCATGCATACTATGATTGAAACAATAGGGACATACAACACCTCATAATTCTCATTTTGGCAAACGGCCACATTTCATGTCCATACCATCACTTACTTGTACTTGCCATGGGTGATCATAGGATATCAAGAACATTTAAAATATTTAGGAACACCATAGCCT